GTGCATGCGTGCGTGTGCATACTCATGGTGGGGGGGCAGAGGAGGAGGGCCTAGGGAGAGGGACAAGCAGACTCCATGCTGAGTGTGGAGGCCCATATGCGGCTTGATCTCAAGATCCTGAGATCGTGACCTGAGCCGAAACCAAGAGTCAGATGCTTAACCACCTGAGCCACCCAGGCGCCTCACAAAAATAGCTTTTAATGGAAAACATATGAAGCAAAAGAATGGATGATGAACCAACCTGCTGATCATAATTACAGCAATGACCATTAAAAGGGAAATTTCATTTAAAATTAGAATACTTTTACTGTAATAAATAACCAAACAGAAGACTAGGACATGGAAAAAAAAAAAAAAGAAGAAGAAGAAAGCTGAGTTTATAGATTCCACCATTTTTACAGAGACTAGACACTATCTGGGTCCTCCGTGATGAGCCCTACATTTCTAACCCAAGTCGTTGATTTAGAACTATACCATAGACAGGCTCAAGTTCCTGATAGTCATTTATTTCTGAAGCAATTTGTTAATATTTTTGCATGAAGGTCTACCCTCACTCAACTCCTGACTCCTTAATTTTTGTGGGCAAGAATTCTTATTATTATAATTATTCTTGGCTCTGTATGTATATGGTAGCCACTGCACAAACAGCTTGAAACTAAATCAATGCAGTACAAATGGGACTAACTTACATAGGAAGGGAAAAGTACACTGTGACCAGTGGGCAGTCAAATATGGGTCTGAATGTGGCCTCACAAAAGTGGTCACCTCTGCAAATTCACAGAGCTGCTATCCAGCATTTCACTGAGATTTCACAAGTGCGTGCGCGCGTGTGCGCGCGCGCGCGCACACACACACACACACACACACACACACACACAATGTGTTCTTCATAGATTCTGATATATAGAGTGTCAAACCCAACTGTTTGAATATGAAACTACTGGATAAACACCCACAATAAAATTAATCACCTCTAAACCAAGAGGTGAATCTTAGATTGTACCAGGAGCAGAGAAACTGATGAACAATGTGGATGGAGGCTTAACGTCCACAATGCCATCCACCAGCATGACTGGCTTTTGGCAGGTAAAATCTCTTTTTAAAGTCTAAACAATCTGTTGTAAACCATTTTTTTTTCTGTTTCCAGAAACTCAACAGGCTTTACAAGCTATCATTGATCAGAAAATTTTCATACACGATTCAAGTCAAAGTAGTCCTTCAACGCTTCACACGATGGATCTGGCTGTGTCTGTTATACAGCTTGACTACATAAGTCAAACTCTTCTCAGGCATCCTTCAAAATATACAACACTGTCAGCCCATACTCTGAGGTGCTTTGGCCCGGACATACTTCTCTATCAAACTGGGCCTTAGAAAAATTTCTAGAAGCAAAAACCTGCCATGTGTATCATGGATTTTTCCCCCTAGACAGGTTTCTATGATGAACTTGAATGAAACAAGGAAAAAGCTCCACTTTTTCATCAATATTATTACAATTCCCAAACTCCCAGAAGTGTCCCCGTATGACATCACACAAGATGGAAACAGCAAAATTCCCAACTTCTCCTGAGGTTTGTCCTTCTGCCAACTTTGATTAAACAAGTGTGGGAGTGTTCTATCTGTGCTAGACACACTGAATGTGGATGATTTCTCAATAATCCCCCTCCTTCTTTAAAAAACTGATAGAGCAAAGGTACATGAGTTTTTCAGATACCTTTCACGGTATCCTTCTATGGATGGTTCTTTGTTTCCGATGCCCTTCCAAGACTCAAGGAGTTGTCATGCAATGTTGACATGGAAATGATGCAAGATTTAGTTCAACAGGATTACCAAAGCCTCCTGCCTTCTCTTTAGGTGGTTAGAAATGTGAAATAGAAATTTAAAATATAGCCTTACAAACCATTTGTTGCCCTTTTACAGCTTATTTTTCAATATCTAACAATTGCTTGAGACAATCCTGTACAAATGAAATAGTACAGCTTTCAATAAGAAGACTGGCTTTCAAGCAAGGTTCTTCCATTTACAGATGATATGATTCTGAGTAGTGTAGTTCTTACTTAACATGACTGTTACACGATAAAAGCAATGTATCATTTAATTGGAACTGATAATAGACCCATACACACAACTCAGGGTATGTGGGGTCCAAAGGCTGTAACTGCATGTCTTATTGCTATTAACTGTTTAGTAGAATTTGGAGATTTTTTTCTGATCCACTGAAAAGAGGAAAAGAGAAAAATAGAAAGAAACAAGATCATGCAGGTACCAGTATTTCCTTCTGTGTGTGGGTGAATATGTTGATGGGCAGTAAATAATAGCACATTTTAATAATTGCTAGGCTTTGAAATTTCGATGATACCACAGCTCTTGAGGATCAAACCGAAACTCTTCACCTAAACAGACCTAATTCTACATGCCACTGCAAAGAGTGGTCTGTTCCAGGACCTCTGCACACCTTGGGGGATCTTTTCTGCTCTTGGCATACCTAGCCCAAGAATGCCCTGTGATTCCTCTTCCCAATCAGAGTTCTATCTGTGGTCCATCGTCTTCCAGAAAACCTCATTAAGACACTCTACATTCCCTGGATCCTTTTCTCTTTTAAAATTCCTGAAGCCTAAGGAATAGCATGGAGGACATCAGGAGAAGGAAGGGAAAAATGAAGGTGTGGAGGAATCGGAAGGGGAGATGAACCATGAGAAACTATGGACTCTGGGAATGAAACTGAGAATTCTTAGGATGGGTGAGCCTGGTGATGGGTATTAAGGAGGGCATGTATAGCATGGAGCACTGGGTGTTATATGTAAACAATGAATCATGGAAGACTATATAAAAAACTAATGATGTACTGTTTGGTGACTAATATCACATAATAAAAGTTATTAAAAAATAAAGTTAATTTGGGAAAAGTGAAAAAAAAATGAAATAAAATTCATGAAGCCTCATTTGTACCACACATTTGGCTGCTTTGGAACATTGTCCTGGTCTGTTACTCAACCCACAAAGATTTGTGTGCCTTCTACCTGCCAGGCTCTCATGCTGCAAATGGGAGTTGAAGAAGACGGGGAGGGTCCCTGTCCTTGAGCATTCACTTCCTATTAGTTGGTCACTAATTCAGGCACGTGGCAGATGTTGGAGTCAAACGCTGTGTAAGACTCACCCAGCTTGTTGGGTGCACAATCATGACATTCAGCCACACAGTGCTCTTCCACTCCTTACTTCTGTCACCTCATGGCCTGCTCGTTCCTCCTCCTCACTCAAGAAAGTTGTGTCACCTGGATTAGTCTCCCCCTCCAAACTTTTGCCATCAACCTGGTCACTTCAGGATATGTGCACTTGCCTTTTAGTCCTATGCCTTCCTCAGATAGACCTCAGCCTCCTATGCCCACGTTCACCATCCAATGGCTCCACCTCGCAAACCACTACTGCAAACATCTTTTCCCCTAAACAAAATGTTTTCTGCTAAGTACCCTTATGGAGACAGTTCTTCAGCTTTACCAGGTACTTCTAGCTGACTGACCTCTCCATTTTCTTCCCACCATCTACAGCTCCTTTCTGTCTTTCTTTCCTGTATCCACAATAATCCACTATCCACATTAACCTATCATTTTCATTTTTACATTTTAAATATACTACACTCCATTACCCTTGCATCTGTCCCAAACCCCTGGAAGACTCCCCAGCCCAGAAAGAACCTGACCATCTGCTTTCCTCATGTCTGCACACATGAGGTTGAGTATGGCTGGAGCAAAACACACAATGGGCTGGTCAGAAGTATACCAGTCAATGATTAGAACCAAGTTCAAAAGCCTGGGTCTCCAACTTCTGTAATATCTGTTGCACAAATCTCTTCCAACATCCAACTCTCTTGTTATAAGCACTTGACCCTTACCCAACTTTACCTAGAAAGGGAAGACACAGAATTAACCGGGTTGCATCATCCACTCCCAAGCACAGGCTCACCTACAGTTAAAGTCTCCTTCTTCCCTTTGGTGCCACAGGACTTCTCCTCCTCCTGATACATGTGGACTCGGATAGGTTCCTTGCTCTGAAAGTCATATGCAGAACCTGGCGAGCACCCCATCCTGGATAATGGGTCCTCAACAAATCACATTTGCTTCCATTGGTTTCTCTTTATAACTCAGAGACTGAGTTGCTGGGGATCCCAAGGGAGCTTAGCAGTCGTCTCCATGAACTAGCTTTATGGGAAAATGCTGGGGCTTGATAACTTAAAGGATACAAGTGAACAAATAAGGCAGGAGGAAAGAATGAAAAAATGAGGGAGGCAGGAGCTCCGGTGTGTGTTCTTGGGAACAGCCAGTCTCTGTCTTGCTCACAGTGAGAGGCATTATGGAAGGATGCAATGAATACAAATGTGTTTTGCAGAGGCTAGGATCGGCAATGATTTAAGAATTCAAAGCCACAAACACCAGACACTGGTTTATCAAATTTATCAGTTTCTAAACACTTGGTGTATCAAAGAAATACTCTGGCAGTCACTGAGAGAATAAAAACATGTATCTCTGTGAGACTCCATGCTAGCCATTTCCTTCACATGGAGGCCACCATCCCCACACCTTTTCACGTTAGTAATTCTTTTTCATCTTTTACCCTCCTGCCTTTATTTCTTGTTCTCTGTGAAGCTTTTTCCAAACCCTAGAGCTAGTGGCTCCTCGCCAACAGGTGAACTGGTCAGACTTGTATCATGGTACTGTTATCAACACTCGTGCATTCATCATCCCCACTAAGCAATCTGCCCGATCCACCATCACGTTCCCCCACCCAGCTTAATTCCCAAGAATCCAGCACATGCCTGTGGAATGAATGAAGGAAGGATGAGACCTCCTTCTCTTTATAAAGGTCATGTGGTATTCTGTACACCTTGGCAATCTCTTCACTGTGGTCAGTACTCTGTGCTGACCAGTCAAGCTCTGCTTGCTCCTACCTGGCTAAAGAAAGACTGTGCCCCACAGCGAACCCTTTAGGTCCACTTGGCCGCTCACCTGGCTTGCTGGCAGACGCAGCAGATCCACACCTTCTCGCGCTTCTGGTAGGAGCAGCAGCTCTTGCAGACGTTGAACGTGCAGTCGGCACACCTGCGCTTGGTGTTGACCAGGAAGGTGAAAGGCGAGCAGCAGCGCATGCAGCAGTGCTCCACAAATTTCTGGTGCTTCGAGAGGATGCTGCACTTGCTGCCTTCCTCTGCCAGCTTCTGTTTCATCTCGCTGGGCAGCCGGGAGGAGAAGAAACAGCACATCGCGTCAGGACACACTCTCCATAAAGCACCCCCACCGCCTCCCAGGGCCTCCCACAGGCCAAGACACCATGGAGAATCTTCCCACAAAATGATAAACTCTGAAACACCAATGGCTTGACGTGATATCCAGAGAGGAACCCTAATAGTGGATTAATTTTTGTGCACTTCTGCATGTCACGTTTTCTATGAGAAATCCCATGAGACTTATTATGTTTGAGACAATAGATTGAGACACAAACTATTATAAAAACTAAGCACACCCTTGAAAAATAAAACCTTTAACTTAATTAATGCCTTTTTAAAGGAGCGAGAGACCATCTATGCTCAAACATTAATCCCCGCAATAGCCCTGCTGGGAATAGGATAAATGCAGCCCTGGTCCTATTTAACATCCCCCGGAAATGAAAGCACCCAGGGATTTTAAAAGCTTTCAAATCAACATAAGTCAATAAAGATTCTCTGGGTAATGTGCAAATCCAAAGCACTAGTGATTCAGAACTGGATCAAAGACAATCCCTTCTTCCAAGAGTTCATGGTCATACCAGGCATATGGCCAGCCATATTAATGCAAAACAGCACCACTGCACGGGCTTCTCTCTCCACTCAGGGAGAAGGAACAAGAACCCTGAGAGACAAGGATACCCTGAAGAGAATGAGTTTCCTTAGAAAAATCGACTGGAAGTAACCAAGTTCCTCTGACCTGGCAAATTTGAGATGTTTTTCCTGCTACAAAAATGGATGCCTACAAGCAATAACAGCCAAATAATTGATTTTTTTCCCACACCCAGTTTGTGACTGCAGTGCATCCCAGATCAATCTGGGATGCATATGGCAAATTCTTTCCCCCAGTTTGCAATTTATTTTTGTATGCTGCAAAAAATGTACTGAATTCATTTATCAGTTCTAGTAGGTTTTTTTTTTTTTTTTTTGCAGAGTCCCTAGGGTTTTCTCTATATAGTTTTTAACAAATTTTTAAAAATACATTTAAAAAAGTAAAGCTCACTTACTTTTTTTTGTGCTGCATCATTTTTAAAATTTTTTTATTTTTATTTATATTTTAAATTTCTTTTCAGTGATCCAGAATTCATTGTTTATGCACCACATCCAGTGCTCCATGCAATACGTGCCTCCTTTTTTTTTTTTTTTTTTTAAATTTTGGGGATGTTGAGAGAGGTTAGGACTAGCAGGCACTTTTCTTTTTTTAAGATATTATTTGTCTATTTATTTGACAGATCACAAGTAGGCAGAGAGGCAGGCAGAGAGAGAGAGGGAAGCAGGCTCCCTGCTGAGCAAAGAGCCCAATGCAGGGCTCCATCCCAGGACCCCGAGATCATGATCTGAGCCGAAGGCAGCAGCTTTAACCCACTGAGCCACCCAGGTGCCCCATTACGTGCCCTCCTTAATACCTACCACCAGGTTCACCCAACCCCCAACCCCCCGCCCCTCCAAAACCCTCAAACTGTTTTTCAGAGTCCACAGTCTCTCATGCCCATTTACTTTTAATGTTTATTCTTTTCTAACATATGCATTTAAGGCCATAAAATTCTCCACATATCCCTTTCACTGCACCCCACAGGTTTTCAATCAGATCATTTTTATTGGGTGTTATATACAACTAATGAATCATTGAAGACTACATCAAAAACTAATGACGTACTATATGCTGGCTAACTGAATATAACAAAAATTCTTAAGCTTGAAATTTCCACATATAGAACTTTTGTTACTGATTTTGCTTTTGATTTTACATTCTCATCAGAGAAGAGAGTCTGGAAGAAATGAGTTCTCTGGTACTTGTTGAGACTTGCAAAATAGCCCACTACATGATCAATTTTTGTGAAGTCCCATGTGTGTTTGAAAAGAATATTTTCTCTCTATCTCTTGAGAACAAAACATTGAATTCTCCCATTCTCCCATCTATCTATGGGATAGATATCCCATAGATATATATAATTTCTATTCAGTTCTAGTTCATTTTTACTTTTATGTTTTTAAGACTATAATGTAAGGTGCATCAAATATCCTAAGTTAATAAATGTTATGTTCTTATTGAAATATTCCTTTTGTGATCACATAAAACCCTCTCTATCCCTAATAATGCTTTTTTGTCTTCAAGTCTGTCTTATATTTATAGTCTATATTAGTTATTTTTATACTCGTTATTTTTAAATTGATGGTGTGCCAGGGTATAGCTTTTTATACCTGAATCTTCACTTTCAACACTTGTATTGTGTTTCATATAGGGATGTTATAAGCAGAACGTAGCTGAATTTGCTATTTTCACGCTGTACGAGAATTCCTTTTACCATGTTTAAGTTTAAACCATTTATATTGAGCTTGCTAATATATTTGCGTATGTGCTGCCGAAGCAAGCACTAGATTACTAATACATTTGGATTTATTTCTACTGTTATTTAATGTTTTCTATTTACCATGTTCTTTGTTTCCTCTTTTTCTCCTTTCCTACTTTCTATTAGATTGATATTCTTCATTCTCTTTTCTTTTCTGAGTATGATTTGACATTTGTTCTTTTTCATTTCTTCTAGAGGTTGACATGCATATTGGGATTAATATCTATTGTTAATGGCTTTCTTCTCATTAACAACGTAAGTGTTAATTCCTTCTGATGTTCTACGTTATTACTGACAGTATTTTGGTTCAATCTTACAAAATGGTTCTTAATATTGTTTAACTGTAGTTTTAGCACCCCACATGATGCAGTATGGGACCTGCTCTCAGACAAAAAGCCCGAACACAGGAATTCTACTGCCATTTCCTTCCTCCAAGTATCAACATCCCTCCTGTATCTCCTGGATTTGGTCGCAAATGGGGTGCTGTGCAGTAACCATTTTTTGTCTTGTGTCCAGAAGGTGTACTTTTTATCTGTAGGCGGGTTGGTCCAATAGGAGCTTGCTTAGCTGTCAGCAGAAGCAAAATTCATTTATTATTTTTAAGTTGACATTTATCCACACGTACCAATTTATTTGTTCATCAGCGCGTCTTGCTTCTAACGTTTCCTCTTCTTTAATTTTTTTTTTTCTGAACTCCTTCTGGCAATTCTCCCCACAAGAAAAACTCTAGCAACCTTTATTCACTGAAAATGTCTATCTCATCCTTATGTTGGAATGATGCTTTCAAGGCGTACAGAATCCTAAGTTGGCAGTTCCTTTCCAAAGGTACCAGATAATACCGAAGGGAGTAGTCCATGTTTTTTTTTTTTTTTCCTGATATCGAATGTAATGTGAAGTTTGTCAGTTTGATTATTCCTTTGCAGGGAATTTCACTTTTCTTGCTGGCTACTTGTAAGAGTGTTTTGTTTGTTTATTTGGTGTTTGTTTGTTTGTTTGTTATTTTTAGTGTTCTGTTCGGTGTTCACTAAAAAATGTGTAAGTGGGGATTTGTTTGCATTGTTCTTCTTGGAACTCTTGGTAATTTTTTAAGACTTTCATTAATTCTAAGCAATTCCCCAATTATAACTTTGAATACTGTCCTCCGCTGTATTTTCTCTAATCACTCCTTCTGGAATTCTACGTCAAGGCTTCCCTGTTTTTCCACACCTCCTAATCTTTCTGTCACGTCTGTATGTCTGAGATAGATTCAGGACACGTGCTTTGGTTCTAGCTCCTGGTTTAGAAATTCTTTCCTCATTCATGTTTTCTTCACTCTTTAAATGTTTTTAAATTTAACGGACTTTAATTTTCATTTCCAGAAGTTGTATGATTTGTTTCCACTAAAGTCTGCCTGTCCTTCTCTCTTTGGTGCCATTCAATTCTGGTTCCTATTCATTCTCTTATATTTCTTTTTTACCCATTTTATCTTATTTTAAGATTTTTATTTATTTATTTGACAGACAGAGATCACAAGTAGGCAGAGAGGCAGGCAGAGAGAGAGGGAGGAAGCAGGCTCACTGCTGAGCCAAAAGCCCGATGCGGGGCTCGATCCCAGGACCCTGGGATCATGACCTGAGCGGAAAGCAGAGGCCTTAACCCACTAAGCCACCCAGGTGCCCCTCTTTTTTACCCATTTTAAATAGACTTCCTTTATATCCTCTTCCTGGTTCTTACATTATCTTAAATTCTTAGAAGGGGTGTTAATTCTTTTACCGGGTGTGTCTCTTACGTATTGTTCAAGGTGGGTTCTTTCTTTTATGGCTTACCATTTTTTAAAAAAGATTTTATTTATTTATTTCACAGACAGAGATCACAAGTAGGCAGAGAGGCAGGCAGAGAGAGAGGGGAGGAAGCAGGCTCCCTGGCGAGCAGAGAGCCCGATGCAGGGCTTAATGCAGGGCTCGATCCCAGGACCCTGGGATCATGACCTGAGTTGAAGGCAAAGGCTTTAACCCACTGAGCCACCCAGGCGCCCCTGGTTTACCATTTTTGAATGAGGTGCCCTTCAGCCTGGCTTGCTCTTCCCACAAGTGCATTTGTTCTGTGCAAGGGCTGCAGAGAGCAAGCCAGCTATGCATTTGTCTTCACACGGCACCACAGAGGGGTTATCAATTCCAGACCAGTTTCACATTTGTGTCTTAGCTTGGAAAATCCTGTATCACACAAGTAATAGGATTTGGATTTCCAATCCCATGTGTACTGCAGGATTGGGACTTTGAGCTTTGATCCCTAATGGGAGGCTTATTTTCTTCCACCCAGGGCTCCAGGCAAAATCACCTGCTTTCTAGCTCCCCAAAGCCAGTGAGTAGAAATTTTCTAGGTGTCCCCTTTCACTAAAAGTGAAAGCTTCCAATACCGAACACTGTACAGGTGTCTCATTCTCAGCTTGCCCTTAGAAGGCTCAAACCACCTCTCCTGCCCCCACACAGAAATTAACACTTCAGCCACGAGCCAGCAGAGACTCTTCCTTCTCTATGTGACCATGCTGATGACTTGGCTTTACCTCCCTCTTTATTTCCATCCTGAGGAGTATCCCTTTCTTACTTTTCCCAGTGACTTAAAAAAAAATTGAGATATA